TTCTTCTGATGTATGGTTTGCAAGGATTTTAGAGTAACTAGCGCGCCTACGAATTTTTTTTCGAAGGACACCCGCCGAAGGTGGGAAGTAACCTAACGTGACATGACATCTTTCAGCACGGAGCTCTTTTGGCGCTGGCACAGGTCTTAGAAATACTGTTATCAGTTTTTGTTCTATCTTGAAATAGTTTAATTACTCTTTGAAGTTGTAGATTTGGTAATTATTTTTGACTGTTAGCTGATATTAGTATTTTCAACAAAGGCTTACAAGACTCGCCTACAAAAGACATGGCCGTTGCAAAAGAATATACTGATGAGCAACTAAACTATTACAAGATTTGTCACGTCACAACTGATATCCCAACCGCAGGTTTGCGAACAATTTTCAAGCAAGAATGGGACAGTCGTTACAGGGGCGACTCTTGGAGAATGGAAAGATGATCCTAGTAACGGGAAAGACTTTTACAGTAAAGAGTCCCCGCGAAACCAAAGGAGGAACAAGCATATGTTGTCGACCATGATTAAAGGAAATAGAGCGGAATGGGATTCTACCATGTTGTTTTACGCCATTCTCTACTCAGATTGCATCTACAATCTAAACGCGGTGGTGAGAACGAATGTCGACGATCTCAGAAAATTTTCGCAATGAAGAGTTTGCTCATATGCCACAAGGTCAACTTTCGGAGTTAGAGTTTAAAAATGCTATTGGCAAAGTTTTTGCTGCATTCCAAGCACTAGGTCTTTCCACTGTAGAAATTCAAGAGATCACAAACCAAAAGACGTTTCCGACAGAGGAGGTAAGAGATCTCTTAGACAAAGTGAAAGCTTTAAAGAAAGACTTGGACAGAAAAGTGAAAGACAACAAAGACCTTGAAGATCAGCTGAAGAAGATAGAGAGTCAACGCCAGGATCTGGAAGATCAGCTGAAGGAAACAAGAAAACTACGAATTTCTCTCGAATATCAGCTCAAGAAAACTGAAAAACAACTACAGGTTCTTAAAAATGAGATTGACGAAACAGAAGAAAAACAAATGGGCCTTGAGAATCTCTTACAGAAAAAAGAAAATGAGCTTCAGGAAACAGAAGGAAAACGAAAGAACCTTAAAGACAAGCTTAAGACAACAGAAGAACGACAAAAGAACCTTAAAGATAACTTAAAGGAAACAGAAGAGAGACGACAGAGCCTTGAGGATCAGTTACAAGAGAAAGAAAAACAACTGAAGAGCCTTGAAGATCAACTGAAGAAATCTGAACTTCAACGACAGGTTCTTTCAGAACAACTACTGAACGACACCTCCTCGTTTTGCATTCTTCCTCCCAAACCTTTACACGACATAGCAAGTCGTGATGTAGAGGTTGCTGACATCACGAACCAGCTGCAGGAGCTTAAGCGAGCTGATGTGAGCAACTTAAGTATCTTGTATATATCCGGGAATCCTGGAAGCGGTAAATCCCAACTGGCAAGTCTTGTAGCTGAGAGATTTTACGAGAAAGCCCAAGAAGATTCCTGCTCTGAAGTGTTTGTTATGACACTGAATGCCGAGACGCTGGGCACACTTTTGATTTCTTACATCACGTTCGCTCGACAAATGAAGTGCCCCGAAGATGCGATTACACAAATCCATATCTCCAAAGATTTGAAGACAGAGGACAAGATTAACAGCCTGATATCATTAATCAGCTCAAAGATTGGTAAGTACGAGTCCTGGCTTCTGTTGGCTGACAACGTGAAAAGCTTATCTGAAATACATTTTCATTTACCCCAGCAAAGACATGGACAGTGGGGAAGGGGTATCTGTTGATCACGACCCAAGATAGTCCATGTATACCGTTAACAAGCACTTCCATTCGACACATCTCAGTCAGCGAGGGTATGCAGTCCCAAGAGGCGTGTTCTTTATTAGCCCTGATTTCTGGTATTAGCGATAGTGAGATAGGAGAACTAGTAGCTAAAGAACTCGACTACCAACCTCTTGCTTTAGCAAACGCAGCCACCTATGTGAAGCAACTTCGACAGAGCAAACGTTTCTCAGAGTTTGGGTGGAATGACTTTCTGAGGAAAGTAGAGAAAGGGCAACGTGATGCGACAGAGACTCTACTTACAGAGACCAACCCATGTTACAAGAAATCGATGACAACAGCAACAACACTGGCCGTTAAAGAAGTGATGCAATCAGACAGAATCATAGATCATGCATTAAGTTTCCTCTCCCTACTTTCGTCACAGCCCTTAAATGTGGATATCGTGGTGAATTATATCGTAAGCGTCGATGAAGGAATAAAAGATGAAGAGATGATAATTATGAAACTCCAAAGATGTTCGCTAATTTTAACACATGAAGATGAGTTTGGTTCCCACATCCGGGTACATCAGGTTGTGCGCGATGTCGTTAAGTCTTTGATTAAGTGCCATCCGGAAAGCCGTCTCAAAAAAACGTTCAATAGCGCTGTTGCGGCGTTTAACCAGTTTATAGATGACAAGTTACCGAAGGAATCGTCAGATTCAATTTTGCAAAGCTACGCCCTTGCCCTACATTTAAAATATTTCATTCTTAGTTTTGAAAACGTACTTTCCAAAATTGTCCTTTCCCAAATCGTCCTGCCTGAAATGGAAAAGCTCGGCAAGATATGTGAGAACCATTGTCATTTTCTGGCCGCGAAGAAATTTTATGAATTTTTTATTACAATTTCTCCAAAAGTTTGGAATTGAGCACACCAATATTGCAACTAGTTACAGTAACTTGGGTGTGGTGCACCACAAACTGGGCGACTTTGAGAAAGCCAAGGAGTATCACGAGCTTGCTCTGAGTATTACACAGAAAAAGCTAGGACCTGAGAATGTACAAGTGGCAACTAGTTACAATAACTTGGGTTCTGTTCACGAACAACTGGGCGACTTTGAGAAGGCCAAGGAGTATCACCAACTTGCTCTGAGTATTACACAGAAAAAGTTGGGACCTGAGAATGTTCAAGTGGCAACTAGTTACAATAACTTGGGTCTGGTGCACCACAAACTGGGCGACTTTGAGAAGGCCAAGGTGTATCACGAACTTGCTCTGAGTATTACACAGAAAAAGCTAGGACCTGAAAATGTGCGGGTGGCAACTATTTACAATAACTTGGGTCTGGTGCACGAACAACTGGGCGAATTTGAGAAGGCCAAGGAGTATCACGAGCTTGCTCTGCGTATTGAAATGAAAAAGCTAGGACCTGAGAATGTATCAGTGGCAACTAGTTACAATAACTTGGGTCTGGTGCACGACAAACTGGGCAACTTAGAGAAGGCCAGGGAGTATCACAAACTAGCTCTGGGTATTAAACAGGAGAAGCTAGGACCTGAGAATGTGGAGGTGGCAAGTAGTTACAATAACTTGGGGTCTGTTCACGAACAACTGGGCGACTTTGAGAAGGCCAAGGAGTATCACGAACGTGCTCTGAGTATTACACAGAAAAAGCTAGGACCTGAGAATGTATCAGTGGCAACCAGTTACAATAACTTGGGTCTGGTGCATGAACAACTGGGGGACTTTGAGAAGGCCAAGGAGTATCACGAACTTGCTCTGAGTATTGAAATGAAAAAGCTAGGACCTGAGAATGTGGAAGTGGCAACTAGTTACAATAACTTGGGTCTAGTTTATGAACAACTGGGGGACTTTGAGAAGGCCAAGGAGTATCACCAACTTGCTCTGAGTATTAAACAGAAAAAACTAGGACCTGAGAATGTGGAAGTGGCAACTAGTTACAATAACTTGGGTCTGGTGCATCACAATCTGGGCGACTTTGAGAAGGCCAAGGAGTATCACGAACTTGCTCTGAGTATTACACAGAAAAAGCTAGGACCTGAGAATGTATCAGTGGCAACTAGTTACAATAACTTGGGTCTGGTGCACGACAAACTGGGCGACTTTGAAAAGGCCAAGGGGTATCACGAACTTGCTTTGAGTATTACACAGAAAAACTAGAACCTGAGAATGTACAAATGGCAACTAGTTACAATAACTTGGGTTGTGTTCACGAACAACTGGGCGACTTTGAGAAGGCCAAGGAGTATCACCAACTTGCTCTGAGTATTACACAGAAAAAGCTAGGACCTGAGAATGTACAAGTGGCAACTAGTTACAATAACTTGGGTCTGGTGTACGAACAACTGGGCAACTTTGAGAAGGCCAAGGAGTATCACAAAATTGCTTTGAGTATTACACAGAAAAAGCTAGGAGCTGAGAATGTACAAGTGGCAACTAGTTACAATAACTTGGGTTTGGTTAACGAAAAACTTGGCGACTTTGAGAAAGCTAAGGAGTATCACGAACTTGCTCTGAGTATTAAACAGAAAAAGCTAGGACCTGAGAATGTATCAGTGGCAACTAGTTACAATAACTTGGGTTCTGTGCACCACAAACTGGGCGACTTTGAGAAAGCCAAGGAGTATCACAAACTTGCTTTGAGTATTACACAGAAAAAGCTAGGACCTGAGAATGTACAAGTGGCAGCTAGTTACAATAACTTGGGTCTGGTCCCCTAAAAACTGGTTGACTTTGAGGAGGCCAAAGAGTACCAGTAACTTTCGCTGAGTATTACACAGAAACAGTTAGGATTTTGGGGTCTGTTCACGAACAACTGGGCGACTTCGAGAAGGCCAAGGAGTATCACGAACTTATTCTGAGCTTTAGACAGAAAAGCTAGGACCTGTGCGTGTTCATGATGCGTCTTCGCCAACTATCAAAAGTCTCGTGAGGTCTCTTTATTAGGCTCAGGACACTTTACTGCAAGCCGAGGAGTGTCATAATCCTGCCCCTAACTATCGTTCCCGTTCTTAGAAACGCGCACGTGAAGATAGTCTTGCTCTAGTGAAAAACGATGGGATCGATGCCTTGAGTCAAAGCTCGTTTGAAATAAGTGTTAAATCCTCTAAAAAGCGAAAGACAAAAAAGGAGTGAGAAATAGGAGGACAGAAATCGTAAGAATTAGTTACAAGTCATTTTCTTGAATTACTGAGATTCCCAGACGAGAAAATGAAACGAATTATAAGTTTTTATATGTTTCTTCCAAACTCTCTCAAGACAAACTCGAAAAGCAAACTTCATAAGACCGATTACTGTTTTGATCATTTTCATTTTTTTTGTTTTGTTTTGTTGATTGTTTTTATTCAAAGGGGGTTTCTGATAGCCTTGACTTTGTGCAGTCGACCCATTTTCCCGGCTCTTTTTCAAACATACAGAACGTGGGCTGTCAAAAAATCAGTCAAGATAACTATAATTTTCGTTGTCTCCTCAAGGGCGTCCATAGATTCCTTAAAAAAGCCTCAGGCAAAGGCTAAAAATAATGTAAATCATTAATATTTCACACAGCTTTCGAGAGTTAGTCTAAATTACATATACTCGTCCTTAAATAACTAAATTTAGTTGTAACAATGTGATTGATTTAGTTAGTACGCGTATTACGAGACTTGACTTAATATTTCTTTGTTTTGAATCGGGAAATTCTTTTATGTTTTGTCGAAAAAAGGCAATTCTCATTTAGCAAATTGGGTTTGTTATCTTAGACAGCGTTGCTCTTTAAAAAGTGTAAAAGCCAACAGTAGTGAAGCTTTTTAATTAACGAGTACGAGGTGCATTTATTATGTTTGAAAACTGTTCCTTTGACGATGCTGTCGTAGCCTTAGTTCATTTAGTAGCCAAAAAATCCTACGTTTTCAATTTTATCGAGCCGTTTTTCTACCCATAATTACAGGCGTGCAGCTGAAAAGATATCCCTGAGATAATTGTAGTAGTTCTTATTAATCGATTAAGTTATATTCCCGTCACTTTACTTGGACATTATATTCTCAGAATAAGTAACAAGTTTATTACAACATTTTATTTCTCTTTTTCTTACTTTCCTTCATCTTCATTCTAATATTAAGTTGTGAATTTTTTATTGTGAATACTTTCAAACTTGTACCTTCGTTCTTTTGACTTAAGCGCCTTTCGCTCGTATTCTGTGCCAAGAAATGTAGTGTTCAAATGATAAACGCTTCAGATGTAAAGGAACGCATACAAGGTAGAACGTTGTGCAGCTTTTCTGATTATGATTACATCAATAATCATAAAAATTACAATTTCTTCGATTGTGATTGGTTTAAAAATCTCCTATTTTACACTAATTTACTTGCCAAGTTGTTATCGGACAGTTCAATAAGCCAATCACATTTAAAGTTGAAGTTTAAATAATCCAATTAGTCTTTTTTTTGCAAATGTTCCCTTTCTTTCATAACTTGGCTATTCTTTTTTCTCGGAAATTGTAACTTTTATGATTAATTGGTACTCGTTATTAACAAATCTGACTGCCCGCTGTGCGGTCGTCCGATTTTGTTATCACCCGTATAATTACAGACCAAATTGGACTCCATTCAGTCTTATTACCATTACTTATTACGAGAAATTCCAAATAAATCGCTGTTGGACCCGAGTGCTGATTATTTTAAAAGTCCTTGTCTCCTTAAGCTCCGCAAGAACGCCGTTGAGGTTGATCTCCGTGTGCCAGGAAGTGATATGGAGTTTCCGTTTCCGCAGAGCTATTTTCTCTCGATTCAATAGCATTCCTGCCAGAAAACCTGAAAATATGTTGGAGCTGGAAAACCTATTGTCACAGTGGTAAACGAACTTATTGTCAACTTACAAAAGTCTTGGAAGTTTTCCCGCGGATTTACCCAAAATAATCAACAACGAAGAAATGCTCCAATCCAATGATTGCGTTCATCCGTGAAAGCAACTTTTTGATGAAAGGGTATGGAAAACATCAACAAAGTCTTGTAAGAAGTCCAGCAAAGTCATGCAATTTTACTGATCGGAAAGAATACGAACCCCTGTGTTTCTTGATTCCTCAGTTCGGAAGAATTTTGACTCAACATTTGTAGCGACCCTGCAGGGTTCAAGTTTAAGCGCCAGATCCCAGAAAGGCCAGATTCAAGAAATTACTTGGAAATCAGGTTGAATTCTTTACGAAGTTCAATAGAACTCCGTGTATTTGAACTGTTTAGGGAAACGTAAAACAGCACGAGATACAGGGGAGTTTGAGTGACCTGTCAAATGCTCAGAGGCATTGTGCAAATTGGGTGCTACGCTACCTTCGCGGACATTTCTAGGCAGTTCTGGAAATATAGTTGAAAAGGTAACTTTCACGATCATAAATATGGTAGATTGGATCCATTTTGTATGTTTCTGTTTAAGAAAGAAGAAAGGACCACCGTTTGAATAAAAAAACCCGCATATGTCCCTGAAGTAATCGCTTATTGCCGTTGAAAGACATCTCAGTGAGGATTCAGAAATAACCATTGGTGATCTGGTGAAGGTGATACACTGTATTATATCCCTTACTGATATCACTGAATGTTTCAGCTTAATCTCACTTAAATCCAATTGAGATGAATCTTAACGACAAACCTGATACTCTATCCCGCTCTCTTGAACTGCAGCTATGTTCCTTTACTGCTGGAATAAGGACATTTGATATTGCATTCTCCAGAGGTTCCTCAGTAGAAGATCCTGAATATCAGGCAGTGTTGGAAGGAAATAGGTCCAGCGGTGTTTCAGGCCAAAGGTGAAAGCAACATAGCATTCTTGAGGCTGTGACAGTGCAAACTCGGCTAACTTGGCCACTTCTTCTGTCCAGCTCGTGACTTTGTTAGTGATGTATTATAAGAATAATAATTTTATTAACCCTTTAACTCCCATGAGTGACCAAGACAGAATTTCTCCTTACGATATCAATACAATATCAAGCAGGAAAGTGATGAGACTAGATGAAGAAGAAAAATAAGGAGATTATTAGTTGATCGAATACCAAATTCTCTGAATGAAATCTAAAGAATTGTATGAAATACAGTAAGAAGAATTACTAATGAAATCTTGGCAGTGAAAGGATTAATTTAGTACTGAGAGACTTCACTTTAAGATGAAGTGCCGCAACAAAAATCATAGGCTGCCATTCTTGGTGTTTCAAGGACACAATTTAGTTCTTTATTTAACAGGTTATTTGCGTTTTTGCAAAGTAGCATTGTCACGTCGCTGTACAAAGAACGCTTTAGAACATTATATGACCTTTTGTTTTCTTAAAATGTAACCTTGTTTCGTTTTGATCGCGTGATTATAAAATATCCTTTTGGCTAGCCGCACAAATAATTATTTCAGTTTAGTTTCCTTTACGTCATAGAAGTATATTAGGCCTTTTTTCACGCGAACATTTCAGTTTTAAGGAGTTGTCTCTGGAGCAAAGAGGAGTTTTATAAGATTCTTTCAGAGTTTTTTTTTTACAACTTGGAGTTCATCCCCGGGCCAAGATCAGACGTAAGTCATGATAGTTAGTTGTGTTTTCTGTCGTCAGATTTGTCGTTTAGCTCGTTTCCTTAGCTTAGACAGACCGTGCATCCCTTTTAGTTTTCACCACAAGTGTTGTAACAAGTCGGCTAGCCTAATTACATGATTTAGTCCAATAAACGTGTGTAAGAGTCTGCTGTCCGTCCTGTACTCCACTGTGGTTGACCTGGCGGACCCAATTACGCTGCACCCCGTGTCTGCCGTGCTGGGAACGCGACAAGCATCTTTTGTTCATTCCATCCAGCTGGATGTTTTTTTTTTCTGATTGCCACTTGGCTCCTAAATTCTTCAAAGTGGTAGTCAATTCGAAAATAGTTTGTCGCCATTTTCAAAACAAACAAAACCTTGTTTTACATTGTCAGCGTTCTTGATAGACCCTTCAAAATTATGTTAAGGAAAAGATCTTTTACGTGCCACAAAGTGGACACTAGGATGGATGATATACAACGTTCAAGCTCACCTACATCCAAGATGGCGTTTTGTTATCGATCGAAAGGCACGTGCTGCGTTTTAGAAACAAACTTAACGAGAAAGTTTACCGCGGATTTGTCTTTGCAAATCTGTTAAATTCACTATTTCTCTTGGTAAGGTTATGGTGAAACATTCTAGTCGCCAATTTGGCGACTAATTTTCAGGATTTGGTCGCCAAAGTGAAAAATTTAGTCGCATTGGCGCCTGGCGCAATTTCACGCCCTGTAAAACAGTAACATGTACCTTAGGGTCTTCCCATGTTACATGGGAAGACCCTAAGGTACACGTTACTGTACATGTAACTGTACATGTAATTTCAATCCTGTCAGATCCTCCTTAAGATCGGTAGAACTGAGATGTACTTGCTTGTTTGTTTTGTTGTTGGTTTTATTTGCTTCTTTCAAACTTCAGCTCCAAGAATTATGGTTGCAGAAAACAACCACACTTTTGCATTTTTTACGAAAAGAGGGAGTTGGATTCTGAATAAGAATTCCTTCTGCTCCATAATTTCAAAAAAAGAAAATGTCAAACTTGCACTTATGTAATGTAATATTCAGAATAAACTACAATTAAAGAGCTACAGTTAAATCATTGATAGGAAAAGCTAATGATTGTTAAATTCTGATTGTAGGGATATTTT